ACAGATTTCGTGGCAGGCGCAGCACTTTGTGAACCTCCATGTGCAGAGTTCGTGGCAGGCACAGCGCTTTGTGAACCTCCATGCGGCTCCGAACCTCGACGGGGAAGCTCCGCAGAACGACGGTTGCGAGACGGTCTCGGGTCATGGTCGGCTCATGCTCGGATCATTCTCGGAATCGTCCCTCCATTGTGATTACAGTGATGACAGTTTTCACTTGTCTCTTGACGTGCAGATGTCGTGGCAGGCGCAGCACTTTGTGAACCTCCATGTGCAGATTACGTGGCAGGCGCAGCACTTTGTGAACCTCCGTGTGCAGAATTCGTGGCAGGCACAGCGCTTTGTGAACCTTCATGTGCAGATTTCGTGGCAGGCACAGCCCTGTGTGAACCTCGAGGCGCAGATTTCGTGGCACGCACAGCACTTTGTGAACCTCCATGTGCAGATTTCGTGGCAAGCACAGCACTTTGTAACCTCCATGTGCAGATTTCGTGGCAGGCACAGCACTTTGTGAACCTCCATGTGCAGATTTTGTGGCAGGCACAGCGCTTTGTGAACCTCCATGTGCAGATTTCGTGGCAGGCGCAGCACTTTGTGAACCTCCATGCGCAGATTTCGTGGCAGGTGCAGCACTTTGTGAACCTCCATGTGCAGATTTCGTGGCAGGCACAGCACTTTGTGAACCTCCATGTGCAGATTTCGTGGCAGGCACAGCACTGTGTGAACCTCCATGTGCAGATTTCGTGGCAGGCACAGCATCGTGGAGCTGGAAGCTGAGAACTGGCGACTTTGTAGTGCAACTTTAGTACGCGGAGTATCTGCGGAGCTGAAAGATGAGAACTGGCGACTTTGTAGTACAACTTTAGTACGCAGAGCAATCTGTGGAGCTGGAAGCTGAGAACTGGCGACTTTGTAGTGCAACTTTAGTACGCGGAGTATCTGGGGAGCTGGAAGATGAGAACTGGCGACTTTCTAGTACAACTTTAGTACGCGGAGCAATCTGTGGAGCTGGAAGCTGAGACTGGCGACTTTGTATTAGTACAACTTTAGTACGCGGAGCAATCTGGAGAGCTGGAAGCTGAGAACTGGCGACTTTGCAGTACAACTTTAGTACGCGGAGTATCTGGGGAGCTGGAAGATGAGAACTGGCGACTTTGTAGTACAACTTTTGTACGTAGAGCAATCTGTGGAGCTGGAAGCTGAGAACTGGCGACTTGCCAGAAGCCGCGAGAGATGACCCAGCCACGTACTAAAGTTGTCCTACAAAGTCGCCAGTTCTCAGCTTCCAGCTCCCCAGTTTGCTCCGCGCAATAAAGTTATACCACAAAGTCGCCAGTTCTCATCTTCCAGCTCCCCAGATACTCCGCATACTAAAAGTTGTACTACAAAGTCGCCAGTTCTCAGCTTCCAGCTCTCCAGATTGCTGCTCCGCGTGCTCAAGTTGTACTACAACCCCTGCAGCTGAGTCATGTCTCCCGACCACCCGGCTCTCTTGAGAGGTTGACAAGCGGTAGCTACTTTGCTTACTCAAAAGCGGTCATTTCGATTACCTTCTGGAGACCTCAAAACACGTGTTTTAGGGGTTGACAAATTTGAGCTAATTAGCTAATTAGCTTCGTGTCTAGACAAGCTATCACATCATAGTTAACGTCTAGCTCCAGTTAGCTTTAGTGGAGCTAGGGCTAGAGCTATGCTCTGGCTTTAGTGGAGAGCGAGACAGTTGACGGTGGTTGCTTCGCTTTCGCTCCATTGGTCGGTTCCAACTTGTTTTGTCAAAGAACATCGCAGCTCGGCGAATCAGCCTGCCACATGCCCATTCCTATAGGCTTATTCTTTTGGAACCTTCCGCCGCCGGCTTGCCCGGGAACTGCTTGTATATATATTTTTGTTTAAAGTACAGTACGCACTGAACGGTGTTGTGCGGCACACACATTTGGGATTTGTTCTGCCGATGCAGAAGACGGACACCGTTGCATGGGTGTCCAGGATGCTATGGAGATTCGGGTTCCAGTGGGTCCCCAGCCTCCAAAAGTGCAGGGTGTGCAGACGTGCCCTGGGCTGAAATCCATCACGGAGCTGGCTTCTCGTTGCCAGTGTTGTATTTTCCAGCAAAGAGATGCAAGTAATTGCAATATGTGAAAGTTGTCCTAAGTGAGAATCATCAAAAATAATGATAGCAAAGCCACTGCATCGCACTGAATCAAAACAATCTTCTGTGACATATGCAAACGCACACCACATACACTGCCACAAACACACAGCGCCCTTGCGGAAACTGAGGGCATTGCAGCAACTGGCAGCAACACGTGGACATTAATTACAGGGAAGCACAGAACCATGTTCGCTACTAACTAGGAACAAAGGGCATTGCTACGAACGGAGCAAGGACGCTATTAGGTATGAATTGAATATTCTTGAGCATAGTGTACAAAACGCTGCCGATCAAGAGCGGCCGCCCATGCGGCGTGACACCAGGTATTCGTCTTCGCCAGACCAGCCGCTACTGGGCGTTCCCATCCGCGAGGGCACCTTGTGGCACTTGTCAGCTCAGGACAAGACAGTCACATTCCAGCACCATACTCTGTAAAGAAATGAACACATATATAATATAGAGAAGAATAGCAAAAGGAACCTAATAGCAGCGATGGCCTCCAAACTAGAAGCGATGGCCTCCAACCTGAGAGCGATGGCCTCCAACCTAAAAGGAAATTTTAAAATATACCAGGCTGGCTGTCACTACCATTATCTACTAGTCTATTTGGAACAGTACTGTAAAACACTTGCATACTGGGCTTGCAGTTTGCTATGTTTTGCCGAGGTTATTTTCAAATTGTTTCCATGTTTGCATGAAACGCCACCATATATACATAAATGTACAGTATATGTACTTCTATTCTGAACAGCTATTGGAAGCCAGTAATTCTGGCATTAACTTGCAGATCGGTTTGATTCGACCGTATGGGCTTTGGATCGCAGCTACTCTGTGTGGATGGAACGCAGCTGATGCAATCAAATATCTACAGAATGTTAGCACATATTCTACAGGATGAAACAGTTTGAAGGATGGGCTCCTGTTTAGAGTTTGGAGCTTACTGCAAGCTCAGTCACGCATTTTTGAAGCACTTACACGAGTGAATTAGCTTGAGTACTACTGGAAAAGGATACTCCATCCATCCTCACCATGTCGAACGTTGATTAGCAAGCATATTATATAATATATAGTCTAATTGTGTAATGTACATCAAGAATGTCGCACTTGTTTGAGCCATGGCTTTGAGTGCGATGGCCTCAAGTCGGTATCAACATTTTCCGGCCGAGTCCGAGAGGAAATGCAGGGGTGGTGCAAGCAAGAGGCTAAAGTTTGGTTGACATTGTGCTCGGCCAATATTTTGCCACAGGCTATAGTCCAGACAACCTCTTGGGCCCAACTTGGTCCCGAGCACCAATATGTTGATTCGAAATGACTTAAAACACGCATAATTGACTCAAGCAACACTGCATGCTACAGGCTTTTCTCAAGTTTGCGGTGGAGTGTGCTCCCTTCCGCTTCCTTCATTCTGGGTTTGGCTAGTAGCTTCCTTACTGCTATAGTAGTAACAGCCTACCCTGCGGTCCGAAACAAACAAATACAAGAATAGAATACAGTAACATTATTGGTCCCGGAAAGTGTCGCCATCGCATGGCCATGGCCCAGGTTCCATCAGTTCCTCGCTCGCTACCGCCTCCAACAAGCGATCGGCAAGAGGTTAAGGCCGATGACGGCAAATCGCAGGATAAGTGGAAGCACAACAGCTCAAATTGTGTGTGTGTGTGTGTCTGTTTAGACAGTGAAAGAATAAAAAGGTCTAAAAGGTCTAGAGTTTAGAGAAAAGAATAGACAAGTCAAGTCTAGTCTTTTTGGGGGGGTAGGCCGTGAGAACTAACAAGTAGCAAGGACATGCAAGGACGCTACTAGGCTTGAACGCAGAAGAGCTCAGGCTTCCTTGGAGAATCCCATGATTGATTTGATTTGATGTTCCTCACTTTTTTGATGGTTTGAGAAGAAAATCATAATATGAACAGAAGCAAAGGATTTTGTATGGTTGTTTGTTTGATGATTGACGCTCCTGCTGATGATTCAAACCCTGCTGCAAAAGGAACGATAACAAAATGCCGAGTACAACGCAATTAGAAGGCAATTTTCCTAGACAATGGCAGTTCGGGGGCAGAAACAAGGTTGGTTGTTGTGCCAGACTTGGTGTCCAGAGGGGGTGGTCCATGGTGAAAAGTAATCATCGCACAATTTTCCCAGGCAATGCTGGAACAACTAGCAACATCCTCACACACACAGAGTTTGGGGTGGTGGCAATCGGGATTGATGAAGGTGGCACCCGAACAAGTGCAAGGCCCACAAGCACGCAGGACGCAAGATGGTAAGTAATTGAAGTTAATATGTTTATACCTTGTTCCATCATGTACGCCTGTTCGAAACGGGAAGTGCGAGGACACCTGTCACCTGACCTGCATGCAAACATGGATCACCAATCACCCAGGCAGTGTTGGCAGCTCAAGATGTGGAGTCCAATGCCCTCAAGGCTGCTAGGCTCAAGATGTTGCCAATTGTTTGCCGCCCGGCCACCCCCATTTGATCAATCATCCGTCGCTTGAGAGATCAGTTGTTCAGACTTCAGTGATTAGAGATAAGAATTCAATTGTCCCTAGTGAGCAATTGTAGGCAGTACCAATTTAGGTCGACTAAGACTCTCACATCTGTGACTCTGCCTAGTTTGTTGAGTTGTCATTGCTCCTGTCACTGAAGCCTCCGGAAAGTGTAACGTGTGCCCTTGTGTTGACCTAGGCGCAATTGGCGGATGCGCAGCGTGAAAGCTGTGGCACTCAGCAGTAATCGGTCACGCACACGTGCGCAGAATAATATCATGCAGTGATAACCAGTTTATTGTGGAGGTGAAAACTGTTTTGCACTTGGTGGATATCCATACTCAGATTTGCCTGGTCAGGTGTAGGTGGAGTCGCTTTTCTTTGGTGTTTGTTGCGGTCCAAGTTGTAAATAATTTTGAATATGTCTTGCAGCACAGACTTTGAGTGAGGGCATGGAAATCTTTGATTTTACATTGTTTCAAACAATTTCTTCACAGCAGAAGGAACGATATATGACATATGACATTATATGACTCATTTCGCATGTGCGAAAAGGGCAGCAATGCTTAATACAGTACATAAGTGCTTGCATGGAGTGTGCATAGATGTGCATTGTGCATGCACGTTGGCTTTCGTTGTCACCCCATAGTCGTCTAGTTACGACTTGCTGTGGACTGCTTCAACCGCTGGTGGTTTCCAACGCGTGAGGCCGCCGCTTGAAGCACAAGCTGTGGGACCTTGAGGGGGAGCTCAAAGTGGCCAACGAGGAGCGCCTAGTAGCGTCCTTGCTCCTAGTAGCGATGCCAGGAGCCCCTAGTAGCGAACATTGCTCCTAGTAGTAAGGCCAGGAGCCCTAGTAGCATCCTTGAGGCTTGAATGGCTTTGAATGGGGGTTGTGAAGGCGACTTGAAACATGAGATAAATATGTTCGATGGAAAAGGTATTCCACAAGAAGATGTCGTGGGTATTCTCCATGTTAGTGACCGGCTGTTCTACGACCGGTAGCAGGCCACTAGTTCGGCAGAAGAACGCCTGAGCGCACATGCAGAGCGCCAAGAGTTGCTGCTATCGGCAGGCAGACAGATTGTCCCATCACAGTGATGCAGATGCTTAGTGAAAAGCAAAATGAACCATTCTTTCGTCAGTAAGGGCCACCTAGGTGTGCAGCAATGGCAATAGTTCACCGTGAACATTGAATGACATGCCAGATTTGGATCAGACACTGTTTCAGGACACCTCCAAGTCAACACGTCGCTGCCAACTCATCCCAAAAGTACCTTTCATATTACAGTACACTAATACTGTAATATAATGTACACAATGTATATAATGACCTATAATATAGAATAATATGTTCTTTTTAATGTATATACATAGTTGATAATTTCATATCCGAATCTCACAATGACTAATGAGGTAAACTAGAGACTCAAAAAGAAACTATTCATGCAGCTGGGTGAAGTATCATTGTAGTTTATCAGTGAGTTGGAGGTCCTTTTAGCCGCTATGAATCTCAGAGCCAGCTTTGGTGCTGGAGGTGTCGAGCGCACCGGTGTGGAGAGGGTGAAGCTGGAAGAAGAGCTACAGCAAGGAGCTTAGCCTTGAGTTATCTAAGAGCGATGGCCTCCAACCCAGTTTTGCGATGTTTTGCGTAGTTGTGGGCCCGCTTACAGTACATCACTCGGAAGTAAAACGGCCATTATGGCAGTAGAAGGAATCATACAAAGATAAGTGCCTGGACCTCATGTCTCCAGCGATTGGGTGGCCTTCAGTATCGGTCACATGTAGTGTTGCCAGTGTTGCGCCGGCACTTTTTGTTGCCCTGAATGCAGGCGCATGGAAAGATTACTTTGGGAGCGAGACCAGGAGCGACTTACAGAGAGCAGAGTGGATCTTGTTCCGGTTTTGTGGTCGGTTTGGGACCCGGCGGTTCAGTTCGGTTCATGTTGTTTTCTTTTTGCGTGCTGTGTGTGTGTGTGTGTCAATTCCTGTGCCAAAGGAAAACGACCACAATGTTCTTCTCGTTAATTCAAGTTTTGACTCATTATGTACAGCAAGCAGGGGGCAGAGGGATCTCCGGTTGTAGCCTTTGCCAACGAAGCTCTACACTGGAAGATCAGGTAAACGTACCTGCTGTGGGGCACCTGGGCGCATGATAAGATGCAGCTGGTGACCACACACATTCTTCTCCAGGTTTTGGTGTTCACAAGCTGTCACCCTACTTCTTCTACAGGGCCAATGCGAGCTGTTAAAACCTTCTGTTTGACCGACCCAGCACTTCGTACCGGTCTGCAAGTCAAGGTCTAGCCTTCAGTAACGTAAAGATCGTAAAGTGCTAACTGCACTGAATTGCCCAACTGATAGAGCTCTTGCGAGCAATGATCTAAGTGTGTGTCGCAGCATCATCCCACTGCGGTATGCTGTGTCCTCCCATCGAGAGGGTGCGTTTAGCACAGGCCTTCAAGGGCGCTTTTTCAGTGAATCTTCGTCTTGCATGGTCACCACTGGCTTATCCGTTTCTGCTCGAGATTGCTGACCCAAAGCCACAGAGCCCACTGAGACTCATCTTGAGAATGACATGCCATGCCGCTAAGTATTCATAGGAATAGTGTCGTGCAGCTACGTATTCATAGGACAGGTTTGCTGTCTTGCTTTTCTTTTTGCGGTTTTGATCGTTTTCTAGGTCTTTCTTCGTTCCTAGAGGCTTTTCAGGTTCCAGGTTAACGTTGAGTCAAGTGCTAAGAGTATTCACTCGTCCGTTTCACACTGAGTAATTCACGCACGGTCTTGCTTTTTCTCCGTCTAGGGCTTTCGTTTCTCTCAGGCTTTCGTTCGTTGCCAGAGGCTTTAAAGGTGTCAGGTGTAATTTTCAGTCAAGGGTGCGCCGGCTTCGGCCTCTTGTGTGTGCGTGTCAATTCCTGTGCCCTGTGCCAAAGGAAAACGACCACAATGTTCTCCTCGTTAATTCAAGTTTTGACTCGTTATGTACAGCAAGCAGGGGGCAGAGGGATCTCCGGTTGTAGCCTTTGCCAACGAAGCTCTACACTGGAAGATCAGGTAAACGTACCTGCTGTGGGGCACCTGGGCGCATGATAAGATGCAGCTGGTGACCACACACATTCTTCTCCAGGTTTTGGTGTTCACAAGCTGTCACCCTACTTCTTCTACAGGGCCAATGCGAGCTGTTAAAACCTTCTGTTTGACCGACCCCGCACTTCGTACCGGTCTGCAAGTCAAGGTCTAGCCTTCAGTACTAGTAACGTAAAGATCGTAAAGCGCTAACTGCACTGAATTGCCCAACTGATAGAGCTCTTGCGAGCAATGATCTAAGTGTGTGTCGCAGCATCATCCCACTGCGGTATGCTGTGTCCTCCCATCGAGAGGGTGCGTGTAGCACAGGCCTTCAAGGGCGCTTTTTCAGTGAATCTTCGTCTTGCTTGGTCACCACTGGCTTATTCGTTTCTGCTCGAGATTGCTGACCCAAAGCCACAGAGCCCACTGAGACTCATCTTGAGAATGACATGCCATGCCGCTAAGTATTCATAGGAATAGTGTCGTGCAGCTACGTATTCATAGGACAGGTTTGCTGTCTTGCTTTTCTTCTTGCGGTTTTCTTCGTTTTCTAGGTCTTTCTTCGTTCCTAGAGGCTTTTCAGGTTCCAGGTTAACTTTGAGTCAAGTGCTAAGAGTATTCACTCGTCTGTTTCACACTGAGTAATTCACGCACGGTCTTGCTTTGTCTCCTTCTAGGGTTTTCGTTTCTCTCAGGTTTTCGTTCGTGCCAGAGGCTTTAAAGGTGTCAGGTGAAAATTTCAGTCAAGGGTGCGCCGGCTTCGGCCTGTTGTGTGCGCGTGTCAAATCCTGCGCCAAAGGAAAACGACCACAATGTTCGTCTCGTTAATTCAAGTTTTGACTCATTATGTACGGCAAGCAGGGGGCAGAGGGATCTCCGGTTGGAGCCTCTGCCAAAGAAGCTTTACACTGGAAGATCAGGTAAACGTACCTGCTGTGGGGCACCTGGGCGCATGATAAGATGCAGCTGGTGACCACACACATTCTTCTCCAGGTTTTGGTGTTCACAAGCTGTCACCCTACTTCTTCTACAGGGCCAATGCGAGCTGTTAAAGCCTTCTGTTTGACCGACCCAGCACTTCGTACCGGTCTGCAAGTCAAGGTCTAGCCTTCAGTAACGTAAAGATCGTAAAGTGCTAACTGCACTGAATTGCCCAACTGATACAGCTCTTGCGAGCAATGATCTAAGTGTGTCGGTGCGGTTCGTGGTTCGCGTCAGTTTTTGATTTATATACGGCGGCTTCTGGTGCTGGCGGTCTTGTGGCAGTTGGTTCAGCTTGTGTGTGTGCCTTTAAAGCTAGCCGCAGCTAGCCAAACGGAAATATATTGTTCTGTTTTTGCACAAGTTTTTTTTGGTGGGTTCTTTTTGTAGCACAGATAGCCTCTCCGTAACACGGGTTTGTTTTTTTGCAACGGGCATTACCTCTTCTCGGTTCGGCGTCAGTTCGGTTCGGTTTCTCGGTTTGCGGTTTCGGTTCCTCGAGCATGAGTTCGGTTTCGACCATGTGTGGTTGGGTGTGATTTGGTTTAGCGCTTGGCGGTTCCAGTTCGTCGCGGCTCGGTTCGTGGTTGTGGTTCGTGTCCAGAACCTCTCTCTGAGAGGGTTGGCTGCCAGGGGATAACAAGAATGAAGAAGGGCAGGGTCTAGTGGTTCCTTTGCTGCAGGGGGATAAGCAGTTGAATATGTGACCATTTCAAGAGAAGGTCTGAAATATTTATCCAAGATTAATTATCCAACCACAAGTACTACAAGAGCGGATGTTCCTCTCATCTTGCAGGACATTCGCACCTTGCGACACCGAGCCCAAGAACTCGAATCCAGCCAGCCAGAGCACTCAGGAGCCTCGGGAGTTGTGAGTACAAGTTCCACTTCTCTGGGCGTGGAGCGAAGTCAAATGAGCAACGGCTTTTATTTGCGGTAGTCAAGATAAGTGGAAGGGGCGTTCCTTTTCTATAGCCCAATGTCAGATTTAGTTAGCGAAACAAGGTAGGAACACCCCGAGAACGAGATTGGCATCAATTGCGCCATGTGTTTGAAATGGTTTAGTTAATGACATGTTTAGCTGGTGAAACGAGGTATATAGGAACACCTCTCGAGAACGAGATGGGTATACATTGCACAAAACAGATACAGGAATGGAGAACGAGATTACGCCCCAAAAACGATGCGAGATTGGAGAACGAGGTAAGGAAGGCCCATGTGATAACTCAACGGAAATATTGTCCATCCCTCAAATGGTTTCATTGGAGTCCTCGAAAACAATCCTTTCGTGAAGCGTCCTTGTTCCTAGTAGCGATGCCAGGAGCCCCAGTAGCGTTCTTGCTCCTAGTAGCGATGCCCTTTGTTCCTAGTAGCGTCCTCTACCCCAATGTGTTGGGCGGCAGGGCCTGCGTTCTACTCGGTGAAGACAGTGAGGTTGCATTTGGATCTGGAGATGCGGGGGCTGCATGCCGCGAAAGAGACAAGCACCTCCCAGGCATGGACCCCCGCATGCGTGAGGAGAACACTGTCCTTCCTCTCAAAACCCAGTGATGTCATCATTTTGACATTGACTACTGACCACTGAAAGTGGAATGGCAATCAACTGGGGTTGACTGAATGGAGGACTTGATGGAAACAACGGTATGGGAGTTGTGTTCGGATGAGCCTTTGCTGATCCAGTCAGGCAGATTGCACGTGACGTATCGCTTCCAAGCTGTATCGATTTCAGTGTATTTGGAAGGTCAAGACGTACAGCTCCAGATTTTAAGAGGAACACCGTCATGTGAGGAACTCACTTGCCAGCTTGGTTCCCAGATCCTACTACAGTATTAAGTTGTATCCGTATCCGTCAGGCCCACGAGCTCAGCGGAAGCATCTCAGAGCTCTTGCACAAGAAGCTGCACAAGGATTGATTTTGGGCGCGTTCGTTTGCTTGGGGACTGGGGACCTGACAGAGCGTTTGGTTGTTTTGGTATGTTTTGGTTTGGGAAGGGCATTGGGAGGCCATCCTACTTTCCATTGTCCAAAACCTGTGGAGCTGAGCATAAATATACTATATATAGTAGTTTTCATGTGTGTGTTTTTGTTCCCTTCTTGCTATAACAAAGGTGGTTTGTATCATGGGCTTGCATGTTTTTCATTCAGTTTGGGAAGTTGACGCCTTTGGTCGCATGTGAATGGTGCAGATGGTTTATACGCAATCCATCGATGTCCACTCTAAGCTACGAGGCAGAAGTCCAAAAGCACGGTAGCGTGAAGCCGGCATGTTCAGCCAGTCTTGCGGTAGCGCAGTACCCTTCCAATGCTGTGGCAAGATCGCAGTTTGTCCTGAAGCATTGCTTCAGGCAGCCAGTGCGACGCGGAAGTAGTGCCCCCTAATTGCCCTACCATGGAACAATGAGCTTGGAGGTTGCTTAAAAGAAAGGTTTAACCTGCCAGTAGCTAGATTGGTAGCTAACCTACTAGTGCACCGGCTTTGCGAAAAGATTTGATCGCCAGGGGAAGGCGTTTGCAGTCATGTTCGATGTTAAACAATGTTGAACGTGAGGAGTTTGCACACCCGCCGACCGAAGCGATCTGCCAGGTTGACTTTGGCTTCGACTTTGGCGCCGCAGCATCACAGCGGGTCGGGCAATGAGCATGGCTTCCTGCTACTTTCAAGTCCCACTTTAACGCATGGATCTTAGGTCGTTCAATGTACAAACGCCAAATGCAGGTGTTGGAGTGCCCTCTTGCATTCGGAACATGTGTGACTTGGTTTCCAATCTTTAGTAGAGCTGTGCTTAGTCGGTACCACCTAGGATTGCATAGATGATATAGACAGATGATATATATATATATAATCCTCTGCCGAATAACCCCTATAGAATGGGGGAGGTCGAGCTCCAAAATGACCTGGCATTTTATAGAGAGTTTTTTCTAGAATCAAATGTCAACCTACCTGACTACCTGAGACAGATCCACTCTGAGGATCTCTGAGGTGAGAAAATCATATATTGATGGGTCAATAGGTTGATCACCCTCATTTTATAGAGAATACATGACAATTGAGGACATTTTATAGACGACATGGTTTTGATTCTATAGAGAGAACCTGGAACAGTAGAAGGTTGAGAGTTTACAAAAGAAAAACCAGGAGTCATTGCACAGTTTACTCCAGTTTCCCTTCGAACAGTGTCGTACTGTCAGCTTCCGACTATGAACCAAATTTTGGCTCAAGGAGAAAAGGCGCGTCTGTCCGTACCGACGCGCGAGGTTCGTTGAGTGATTTTCGGAAGCGTAGCGGAGGTTCCCAAAGGGAGATACACCGCTGCTTCTTCCTTTGGGTTATCAGCCGTAGGTCGGCTGTGCATGGACAAGCGGCCCCGAGGTGAGCGTGGCGGGAAATCAGCTCAGAGAAAGAAGCGCCGTGAATCGTTTTGGCACTTTTTCCAGAATTTTCTTGCCTACTTCGCTTACTATTCGAGGCCGCAGCACACGTGGTACACCTACCAGGTCAAGGTTGTTCCAAAGCCTCGGAGGCGTCCACCAGTCACACAGGAGCACATTGAATTGCCGGTGCGCAACACAGTGAGCTTTCGTGGACTGCCGGCGTCTGCAGAGGAGACAACTAGAGAGGTTGGATCACAGTATCCCGAACAAGAGGTTCAAGCTGAGCCTGTTGATCTTGAGGTCACTGCTTGGAAGAACATTTACGTTGAGGAAGAGCCGGCTGCTGCTTCGGAGTCGAGGCCATCCGGATACAACGTTTACGTTCACGGACCTGAGACTGCCAGGGAGACTAGGAGATCTGCATCTTCTTCAGAGCCTGTAGAGGTGGAAGCTGCCGAAGAGACCGGAGAAGAGCCTCTTTTGTCAGGCTATCGCGCTGGTGTAGGAGAGGAGGTTCTTTTGTTTATGCAGAACCCGGACGATTTGAGCGAGGGTATCCAGGAAGTTTCTTTGAAGCAGATTCCATTGTTTCGCGATATTCCAGGGGTCTTGTTGGTGAACACCCGGGCTGGTTTAAAGCTAGAGACAATTGAGAGTCAGCTGAAGAAGGCATTTATCCTCGACATTTGGCAGACGGTCGTAATTCCTGATTGGTGGGTGCGAGACGACGATCGCGTGAGCCGTTCGTATCTTCCGGAGACGAATCGTGAAGCAAGCTTCATTCTTTTGCAGACACTGCGAGTGATTTGGACGGCTGCACAGAAAGGGTTTCCGGTTTGCTTTTGTTCTTTCATTGGACGGAACAATTTGGCAAAGTACGTTAAGGATTTGGTACAGTCCGCGGTTCCTCATTTGTCGTTGTGCACTTTCGTTGTGACTGACAAGGAAGACAAGGCACGCATTGCAGAGCGTCTTGCGTGTACAGTGTTTGTGGACGACAACAAGCAAGTCTGCAAGCATCTTCGTCGGCACAACATCCCATACATTCAGGTGCACCGTGGGAAACGAGTAGGCGATCCCGAGTTCGTCTTCGAGGTTCCCACCCAAATCCGATATTTGCGTAACTAGGGTGCAAAAGAGGCCTTGGGCGGGCGCTACATTTGCGGGTTCCCCCCACACGGCCAGATTCGTTAGGAATCACAGAGTGAGTTATCCACAATGGCAGATATACCAATCACGACTAGTAGTGAAAGCCTTCCGAGCTCATCCCCTGATGTTCGCATGGCAGCCACTAGGGTTGAAACACCTAGCACTGATGGCATGGCAGTGGCAATCCCGCCCGGCCGTGTGAGGGATCGGAACCAAGGGTCACAACCATCAGGTTCAGGTCTCCAGCCGGCGCCATCGGGTACTAGTTTGCGACCGTTCGCAAACCAAGGTGTTCAGTTCTCACCGACTGCCTTAGAAAGGGGAGATTATGCTAATTCACCACAAGTCCAAGCTAGTTGGAATGCTCAAACTGATTCAGCAACGATCCATGAAGAAACCTTCAATGCACTCACTGTTGATGCTAGGCAGATTCACTTGCAAATGGGTGTTCCCCCTGAGGTACACCACCAAGTTGTTTCAGCGACCATGCAACAGGCCGAAGCCCAGCACGCTAGCATAGTGCAGGATCTCATGAATCAGGCTTCCGTAAGCCATGAGCAATTCATCCAGAACCAAGAGGTTCGAAGCCAAGCCCGATTAGCCGAATTGACCAGGTCTGCAGAGTCACTCCACAACCAAGTTGTTGGGGGCATGGAGCAGAGGCACCAAGAATCCATGGGCAATGCGCAAGCCTTTCATAACCAAGTTGTGAAGAATATGGAGGATAGGTTGCTTCAAATCCAGGCCCAGCAGGCCCAGCAGTTCGAAGCCGAAAAGCAATCCATGTTGACACAGTTCAAGGGTCAGTTAGGAAACCTAGAGATCCAAATGACCCAGGTGGTGCAAGAACGGGACTTGTTGAGAGAACAGCTTCGCATGATGAGTTCGAGCCAAGCTCCGACCCCAGGACGCCGGAGCGCTGCGCATTGCGCGCCTCCAGCACCAGCCGAAGGTTCGTATCAGCCTCAGTTCCTAGTACCGCCGATCCCGTCGTCTTTTCAGGATCATTCAGTTTTGGAGTCATTGCAAAATAGTCTTAATGCCTTGAATGCAAAGGTTTTAGACTTAGAAGCCCAGTCACCATTGCAAAAGAGCTCTAAAAATCATAAGAGAAAGAAATCCGGTTCTGACAATTCTGCATCAGGTAGCTCTTCTAGTAGTTCAGAAGAAGACGAAGAGTATTTGTTGGAGAAACGTAGGATGCGATTGAAGTCATACGAAAAGCTCAAAGTGTCTTCATTGCCAAAGTCAGCAAGCGATTTCAGACCCTGGAGGAACGGCCTCACAGCTTCGATTGCACAATGCAGCAGAACAAGTGAGACTTTTGTTTACTCATGGTTGCGTTTGGGTTTTGAAGGAACCATTGAAGAGGTTGAACCAAACGAGGAGTTTCCCATTTTGTCTAGAGTTCTTGGGACCAAGTTGCTTGAACTTTCAAAGGGCTCCAAGTTTCAACTTGAATTCCAAAGTTTGCAAGAGAAAGCACGCATCAAGGGGAAGCATCCGTCAGGTTTGCTTTTGTTGCATCGCATCGCACGTCGGTTCCACTTGGAAAAGGAAAGAGGCATGACCTTGAATTCTCAACATCTGTTAGCATTGAAACCTTCGGGTAACGAAATCAAAGATCTTGAGCAATTTCGGGATAAAGTCATGTATGTCCTTTCCGGCCTTGACGAAGGTGACCAATTGAATGAGGGTATGATGCGTTCATGGCTCTATGAGGCGTTGAAGAAAGTGCCTTGTATGCAGCTTAAGATCGAGCGTTTCAGAGACGCTTCAGCTGGAGATCCGATTCGAAGCTTCGAGTGGCTTTGTGGTAAACTTGAAGAGACACTTGATGAAGCCCAGCATGACATCAACTCCTCGTCCATCATGGCATCCCTGATAGGTAAGACAGCGAATCTTGCAACCCTCACGAAAGAGGACAAGGGACAAGGAAAGAACAAAGAAAAGAAAGACAAAGACAAAGAAAAGAAAGAAAAGCAGAAAGAAAAGAAAGAAAAGGAAAAGAGTGCTAAAGCAGAGCAAGAAGCAACATTGGCAGCCGCCAAGGCCAAGCCTAAACCGAAGCCAAAGGCCAAAGGAAATCCAAAGGTGATAGTTCCAGGCGAAGCTGGTCAACCCTGTTTGTTTTTCCCGAGTGGTACTTGCAGGAGAGATCCATGCCCGTTCATTCACGACGCAGGAGGAGCATCGTCCTCGGCTGACCCAAAGGCCAAGCCTAAGCCGAAGGCGAAGGCAAAGTCAGTTCCTCATGCGACAGCTGCAGTCGCAGCTTTAGGATCACTGCCAGGCGTAGGTGCTTTGAAGACAATCTTCAAGGGTGCAGTTTCCATGTTGCCATTGCTAGGCCAAGACACTGTTTTTCCCGCAGTTGAATGCTATCACGATCACCAGGTGCCCCTCACATCGTTTGATGCAAATAGCTCTACAGTAGAATGGATTTTAGACTCAGGTGCTGGCAGAACGGTTGGCACGCTCGACCAAATTCCAGATGAATACCATGGAGTATCCCAGAACCCAGTCAGCTTCGCCACAGGTGGTGGCAAGAAGCAGGGGGGACATCATGCCGAGTTCATGGAGATATTAGTGGTGACAGCGAATGCTACCTTCTAGAGTCGTCGCCCTGGGCCTTGTCACTGGGAGAGCAAGCTAGGAAAGGAAAGGCCTTCATCTGGTTACCTGCCCAAAGTCCAGATGACCCGTTGCCATTACCATTCTTGGTTGACAAGCAGAATGTGGAGCACTTGAAGGTGTCGTGCCCAGAAGAGTACCGCATTTACGCGGACAAGGTCAAGGAGAATGTCCCAATCTTCAAAGAGCATGTCGAGGTGAGTCACATGCCTGCTGCAGAAGAGGCAGAAAATGGGGGAGATTCGGACTATACACCTTCACTTCCGCCAGAAGATTCGGGTGCCGGGAGAGGGATGGTGGGAGAAGAAGAGAGAAAAGAGCCTGAAGACGAGGATGTATTTCCAGTCTTGGAACATAGTCTCCTTCACTTACCTAAAGACCCCTATTGCATCGTTTGCCAACAAGCAAAGCAAGACTCAGCACCAGCAAGGAAGTTTGGAGCCCCTCATCCATTGACAGACGGAGAAATCG